CACTAGTATCCTAAATCACACATTCTCCTCATCCATGAGTTATTTAGGATGGAGAAAAATATTCCCCGAAATGGGACTGCAATGGCAAAGCGTGGTGGATGGTCCAAAAAAAACACAACATCAGGCTTTTGAAATCAATGTTTATGTTCATTTTTCATGTAAAAAAATAATTTAAAATCGTGATACTTGAGAATGTGCAGGTAACTTCATAGAGTTTCGCTACCCAAAAAACGAACTTATTAGTTTCTGCCAACAGTGGAAATGGTAATAACACTTCCGATTTACAGTCGCGTTTGCAAAAATTTGAGTCAGACAAATGAAAGTAAGTCACTCTTATGCGTTGCGGTGAGTTCTGAGACCGCTGCTGCGGAACGGAGGTATCACAGTGGCGCCCTTCATTGCTCTGCTACTAAAAAAAATGAGCTAACCAAACGCTTTAAGAATTGCCTTGTCCTTTTCCTCACTTGAACATCGCCCGTGGCCCTCCTTCTGACCAATCCGCACCCCCAACCAGCAAATCGAAGTCAGTGCTGAGAAAAAGTAAGCTTGTGATCCAACTATGACACCTACTAAATTTGCAAGAAGCAAATCTGCTGAATTTTGAGTCGCACAAATGCATTTGGGAGGAAACTGCGCTTCCCATCGCATTTGCCTACTCCTGACCGCAAGAAAACTGACGTAATACGAGTTGCTTAATGGGGACGGTATTGAAAGTAGTTTTGCCACATTGTTTTGCATTTCGGAGGATGGTTGGCATAGCGTCTCTACCAAAATTTTCGTGCAGACACCGTGGACAACTCTGCAATAGATTTTTCAGATGGGCATGACCGTGTCTGGTGCCTTTGGCATTTAAAGGGATTCTTGTAGGACATAGTTTGCGAAAATTGCCAATGTTAGGCGTAATTATCGGACTTCCGTCTCCCGACATGCTGGTGGTTAGCATTTAGGGACGAGAATCAAGATATATGTCCCTTAGCATTTGGTTCACTTATCATTGTCGTTAATGCGATGCTACAGAACCTTCCTAAAGACAAGAGAGAAGAAGAGTGTACGTTTTGGGCGTGGGAAGCTGATGGACACTAGTGGCATGGCTCAGATGGCGTGCCTCGGGATTGAGGTACAGTGGCGGAGTTTCAGACTGGCCGGTTGTCCAAACCGAGGCTGCAATGAAAGTAGGGTTCATGCTCGTTTTAACACCAGTTTCATGAGAAGACCTACAGACTGTTCTAACCAGGTGCAAGCCAAATTTTAAATGCAGCCTTACATTTGGTCAATTCTTGCGTTCTCACCCTGTGACATTGGATGCCTTGTAATGTTTGTTGAAAAAGAATACTTTTCACATGACTACTGCACTAACACTCACACACAAGGCAATACAATCAAACCATTTGGGCAAGAAATCGCCTGTGAGGGCGGTGTGACAGCAAATGAGTATCAAATCCACCCCATGCCTGCCGCTCTCCCTTCTTTTCCACCTCCTTCCACTCTTTCGCTATACAGTAAGGATGTGTAACCGAGGCTCTATCGCACACAAACCGAGTGACACATCTTCGGCTCTCTTTCCTCGCCCTTGCCTCATGTCTGCGCGATGTCTGGGCAGTACATCCATAAATGTGAGGTGAGGGTGTTGTTGGAGGTTCACATAGACCATCGTACGTAGAGTTCTGTAATTTTTCCTCTGTAAAACCTTAATAACTCTTCAAAGCAGATATGCCTTTAAAGGAGCGTATGCAAAGTGATAGTAAAATTCAGTGAAACGTAAAAACTGAAGGTGACGTATAGCACAGTAATAGAATGCGATGCTGTTTACTTTAATACTCATCTAAATTGCTCGTGCAATTGTTTTCATTTTCTTGTTTTAACAACATTAAAAACACTGTCTAGCTGTCAGACTAAAAATGGTATGACAGTATTTAAGGAGGCCTCAAAGGGCCACTGCAACTATCTTTAGCGCATTTTTAGCAGCAATGGAGGTATGGATATTTTTCAGAAAATCTACATTTCTTATTTGCTGGTTATTGCATAAGTTAAGCGAGGATGGAGTCGAAATAAGCCGCGTTGAAAGGTAACTTAACGAGAGACAGTTTAAGTCTAGTTTGAGAGAAGAGAGCACCACTGCCCATTGTCAGCTACACGCAGCGAAGTCTCACCAAAAAAATGCGGTACTTCTGGCTGGCAAGGCAAACTTCTGCCTCTTCCTTCAAGCGCAAAGTTATATGTTCCCGACTTTGACTATTTCTAGTCATTAGAGTGACACCGTCGCCTTTGTGGTGAAAAAGACTTCAAGAAGTGAAACCCAACTCCTCAGTAGATGAAAACCTCCAGCATCAAGTTGCCAATGCAACGAACTCAAACTAGGACTTTCAACTAGCTTCCTGAATACAGACACGATTGTTGGAGTTGTCCATGTCGTATGTACAGCCGCTACCACGACGTTCACCATCACTGTACTGTAATGAGTAAATGTTGCTAAATCTTGGATCTTGCACTAACTTTCATACAAATCCCCATTAGCCACCACACGTCATCTTAACGGGAAGTGACTGGCCTGACCTGGCCAATATCTGCCGCGTCAACCCCCGCACAATTAATGACAGAACGTGTACCACCGTTACGGTGGAATTGCTTCATCCACGAATAAAAGACGAAGTTGTAATATGACCCTAGCCTCCTCCCTCCTCTCACGCACTGAAAAGTTGTTTATATATGCAGGTGTTAGCCAGGTCTTGCCACCCAAAATAAGTGCTTACCTTATCTACGCACTAAGCATCAGGGCTTAGACGAATTTAGGATTACGTGTGCAATACATCAACCTTCAAACCATCCAACATTCTAGGAGTATTGCCTGTGCTACAAAAAAGTTCAAAAAATGAAACGAAAGGATTAGTCACCATGACCCGGTCTGAAGCCAAAATTGGTGTAAAATTTACGTAGGAAATCTGAATAGTTTAACTCATCAGATCCTACAACCATCTGCTTCCTACATCTTATACGACTACTCATCTTACTTACCTTTCCACAGCTCTACACAAAGGCACCAAGACATAGTAGGCCCAAAATCTAGTCTACAAGTGATGAAGGGGAGAGTCAACAGCAGTGTTTCGCAGATACGTTCCCAAAGGCGGCAAATGATGTACCGAATAAGTTACCCACTTAGATGATGTGTCATCACGACCGCAGCGAAACGGCACAGTGCACCCAAGACTGACATTAACAATCCAAGCCTCTATTAGTAAGAACAACAGCTGCGGGTAGTAAACACGGGCCACCCTCATCTCAAGGTCAACCGGCCGTAGGGTCGTATAACCTCACAGATGCACGCGAACACTCGCACACACAAACACGAAAAAAGAGGATCGAGGTGACCGATGCAGACACGCAAGCACGGATACGTGCACATACGCATAGACATAAACAACCATGGAGATCAGCTTTGCGTTGGTATGATGTTACCATAGTCACAAAACCATGATGTTATGATGGAGATGTGGGCAGGTTGGTGCCAGGTACCGCTGTGAACATTTCAGTATTTACGAAGGAATAATTCCTCACCGTCTGACGTTGTGTAAAAAAACAATTGGAAATTTCCTCCCTCTCAGAGCCTGTTTGCTTTACTGATTTGCCACATATGCTAAAGAGGTTGGGATAGTTCAGCGTCACAATTTCGGGGTCAAAGTACCACCTTAGCAGGAAATGTCACGGCGTCAACAACAAACTACCCTAATGTTTGATCATTTCATTGAATTCGTCAAACATTTCGCAAACATTGCAAAAAAACAATATGGACTACTTGCACTATGAGTTGTTGTGAAGACAAATGTTCATAACTTGCCATACTCCAGTGGACATGCTAGTGTAATAAGACACCGCAGCCTGCAAGAAGTATGAATCATCCCAAGGTACCTCACTCTGGTAAAGGCCACATTAATCGCCAAAACAGCAACTTAAAAATATAGGGCGTACCATTCATCCACCTGGAACGTTGGAAAGTACAAAATATTCTGGCACGAACGGCTGAAGTTGACTAGCTTCGAACAATACGGGCCAACAAGAGATGGATTAGACGGCGTTCTCGAGGGAAACCCGTAACACACAACGACTTTGAAAAACTGCACTCTTGCTCAAGAAACCAGCCAATAGGAATCCCAACGCTTCAAGACCAACACAGTTCGAAAGATACGACGTCTAACAATAACCCTCCCCCCCTCCCCTATTCAGAACGCAAACGGCCAAGGAAGAGCGTACGACCACATGACAAATGCCGATTAGACTCTGTTCACGTGACTCCAGATTATTTGCAACGCGGGGGCACGGCATTTCAACTAGTCCATTATTATCAGTTGATGTCTTAGGGTGACTAATAAACCAATAATCACTAGGACAGATAGCAAATCCTGGAGAGCATTATCGAGACAGCAGTCTTGCCCTCAGGCATTGCATAAACAGACCACAATAAGCACATCTATATAAAACATCAGAGCCGAAATTAGCAGCTACAGCAAAGGGATGGGATTCGACGGAAACGTCATAATGAAATAACTAGTTAAGAGAAATTAGAGCTCGTCTCGTGCTTCCTACCATTGCCCCAGCTTACCTTGAGAATAACATCCCAAAAAGTAAGCACACAGGCGATGCTACCACTACGCAAATGAATATCTGAATGCAATTTATTTTTGATATTGCAATGATTGCATTCATTGTATGCATCACGAATGTATACGTTGGTGCGTGCATGTGCCGAATCATGCAAAAATACAGCTATCAGCTGGGAAAAAGAAGTACAATAACGTGAATGTGAGATGGGATTATTCGAACGAACGCTCACACGGAGAAATGGGGGAGACATACACACATAATTAAACCTGGATCAACATACACATACATACGCTGAAAGCCATGATTAATAAGCGTAGGAAATGGGAAGAGCGGGAAAAGAGCCTGCAAGCACGCATTTCCAGTCAATAAAGTGGCTTTTGTGAGAATTTATAGGAGAAATTTCTTTAATAGACCGCATAACTTCGAATTTTGGATTGCAAACAGCAAGCAGCGATGATGGCAGCGATCTGAATGAGACACAAGACTCCTGCCGTGGCAATTATGATATACATGGAGGACTCAACTTTGCTCGTGATTACGCTCCAACAGGACTAGACGGTAAAAAGATGAAGATAAATGCATGGAGCCTCACCTTTCTAAGTATGTGCAAACCGCAGTTAGGATCAGGGACCTTGAAACCGCAGCATTGGAGCTAAAAGTAAAGAGTAGAAGAGAGTAAGGGAGCACCTACTTCTTGCTCAATCTGCCGTCTGAACGTATAGTCAGGATTGTTGAAAACCTCCTCAAAACGCTTCGAAAGGAAGTCCATCAACTAGAGGAGAAAGGGAGAGTAGGTATGCAGATAAAGGGAACCTACCTCATCCTTGTACATAAACGCAAACACCGCTACGGCAATCTGGAGGCATAGGAGAATCGCCACAATGACGGCAAACTAAAGTGGGTGAACAAAAACATAGCAATATTTATGTTTGAAAAACAGGTTCAAAGTTTCCATCAGGCTTTTCCACCATATGCAACTAGGCCTATTAAGCTGTCAATCGATTGGAGCTTCCAGATGGAGGCCGACTATCTCAGTTATAAGGTCAAGAAAACGGAAAATTGCGATCTCAGCCGCCTTCGGAGTGTGCAAGGCCGCACGAAAATAATAGGATATACAAGGCATGCCTCGGGGCTCGTCCGACAAAATATAAGGTGATAGAAACAAATTTTTACTGAAGAAAACATAATAATTGGCATCCAAATCCCAATATCGGCGGTAGAGGGAAGCATAATGCCATTCAAACATAAAGGTTAACAAAATATACCGAACATACCGTAATAAGCATGCACGGGCTCTCGTAGCACGCTCCGCAGCATCCAAGAAAACCAACGACAAATATGATAAATCCGAGCACAATAATGGCGATGGAGAAAACCCTAACCACGTCTCCAAATTGATTACTGTAGACACTTAGCTGATATAGCAAATAGCCACCGAAACCGGCCAAAAATAGACCAAATACCTTGAATTGAAACAAAATTAATTAGGTTCCGCAGCGAAACCCATCAGCAACTCCATGCACGAAAAGCAAAATATAGCCGTGCAGACTTTGGCCTAATCTCCACATTAAACATAGGTGAGTGAAAACGCGAAAGGATATGATAATGCAAACACAGATAATATGTGTCTTAAGCAGCAACAAATATTTAAACTAGAATTATTTACTTCAAGAAAAATAGCAGAATTAAACTCCATGTAAGGGGAAGGACGAACTATAGGTCACAGTATATTGAGTGTGTACATATGTGATAACAAACTCACAAATACTGTGAAATTGAAGAAGAATGTGCAGTACTTCACACACTTCATTCCACCTTGAAGAACACCCATTTCCTAACCTCAACGGCAAAACACGACAATCGATGCACCAAAGGTTGAAAGCAGCGCCTTCTAAGTATTATGAATTAATACGAGGAGGTTAAAAGAAACATATATCTTCAATCTTATCCTAACAAACGCGAAACGAACGATAGGTTTTTAGCACAGCAATATTGCAACTTACATGAAGTTGCACTGATGAGCATTGGGACCGATTTAAGGGACAGAATATTACTCCAACCAAAAACTGGAAAGTTCTTGCACCACTAAAGCCTGGTTAGTTTGCACGATTATAGGCATAAGTACAATGGTAGTGTCGCGTAACTTATAGTAAACCACATATCTGTTTGCATTCCTGGACTATCGATCTCAACATTCGTCTCCTTAGGAAACGTGCTGTGTTTAGGAACTTTAGCAACTAATATAAGGAATTATTTCGGGATAAAGCGCATGCTTACGGAGATTAAATGTAAAGGCACAGCCTTAGCCTGGCCCGAAGTCCAACTTACGCGTACAAGAGCAAAGTAAATACCAAAGTAACTGCTAGTCATACAGGTAGTCAAGTAAATGCGACATTACAATGCTCCTCTCTTCTGAGCCATGACCTCAGTACTTGCCTTGATGCACCTCCCGCATCAACCAATGCACCGTATTTGGTGCTGTTAACGCACACCCATGAGCCAACCGCTCCAATCATCAGGTTCGATTGTAATGCTTTGTTTATGTGACCACATGACGTATGGCGGTCACTTTAGGATTTGTCTGGCCCTTGTCCACGTGGACTGGCCTTCGGACCATGCTCAGGCTACACCGGACGCTATACCGATGAGTTTGAGAGAACGTGGTCAACCCTCTCAGCAGCTTTCGCCAGATTTACGGTTGCGTTCGGCGTAAGGACAGAAAATGAGTGTAGCGTGTCAAGACTTCCCATAGGGTGGAAGAAGGCAGTGAGGCTGGATACATGTATTTCGAAGAGAACAGAGCAAATGGGTCTGAGCATAGCCCGAAGGCCAGCTTACGTGTGTTAGGGCCAGACAAATCCTGTTGACCGCTAGACGTCATTTAGTCACATAAACAAAGCATTAAAATGAAGGAGGAGAGATTCTGTTGGAAATGGATTGTGTCTAGGACTAGGCAGTAGTTCAAAACAGGTGCATAACAGGAAAATGAGGATTAAACACAGTCCCGAAGGAAGAGGATATGGCATAATGTTTTTTCGCTATAAGTGTGCAGATGCAGTAAGGGTAACTTCGATACTAAAGTTGTCCGGATGTTTCACGACAACATCACCTCTATTGGGTGGAGCAAGACTCTGACGCCACTTATAACCCCCTTTTGCAAATAATTAGGAAGATTTCCCGCTTAAAGTCTATGCTCTTCCCCTGCACTACAGAATTATTTCACGAATGGAGGATGAAGGTCTCCCAGCCTTCCCTTTGGCACCTGGTTTCATAAGGGGATTAGTTGGGAAGGGTTTATTAGGCATCCTGTACAGAATAAAAGTGTGAGTATAAGACGACGATTCCCGTGTTCTTCACACACGCGCTTTGTATTCGAATTGACTAGCCGCCTATCCCTTATAAAGGTAACTTGAACACATCACTATATGCTACAATATGGGCTAGGATATGTCGTTACAAGGTCGAGTTGGTTTGGTGTCCTAAGACTTCACATGAGGTGGAAGAAGAAATTAAGCTGATTAAATGCATATACTTAAGAAGATAAGGAGAAAATGGGAAACAACTTGACTTCTAGCCCAGCTTAAGCGGAAAAGACCAAGATATAAACCAAAGCCACCACCAGTTATTTGTGTGGCAGAATAAACGCTGCATTACAATATGACATTTGCAAACCTGCAGCAGCCATAGTGTAGTGGTTTGAGCACATTCTGTTAAGCAAAGTGTAATGCATTCCTTATGTGACCATCTGAGATGTAGCAGTTACTTGGGGATTCCGTTTTGCCCTTGTACGAGTGGACTGACCTTCGGCCCATGACAAGACCTTCTTCTCCTAGAATAGGTATATTCTGCCCAGCGTGGTATCGTCATCTACTTAAGGAAAGTCTTGAGGCTCTTTAAAGAAGAATGAAAAACACTCCAACGGAAGGCGTTAAACTACTGAAAAGCGCCAAAGATCAGACTACTCAGGAAGGTACTCCATGTCTTTTCAACTCTTATGCTAAACACCCATGTTATCTAGTCCGTAGCATCCTATATGACTGTCATTCACCCTGGTGTACATCATGCTCGTGGCTGATTGCTCCAGCCTTCGAGCCTTCTAGAAGACCCACCGTTTTCCCTTCTCTTTGCGCACTAGTTGACAACCAAGACCAATGTCTTAAACCATGAAATGTGAAGTCTCTTGGGAAGTTATATGTTCTACCTCTGACTTTGAGCACCTTCCTCGGAGTTACCTTTGACCAACCTTCGGGTTAGCACTCATAGCACAATCTTTTCCGAATAAAAATTGCAATGAAGCGTCTATTTTATGTTACTAAACTATGGATTTTTGTCAGGTTTGCGGACCTAATTAAGGGAAGAAAATCTGTACTAACCATCACGCACGTCCATAGTATTTTAAAGCTTTTTTCGGCCACATTATTTACAATTCAGCGTGCTTAATCAAATCGCTTTTTGTTCTATTTAGCCAGTGGGACAAAAAAACGATTCCAAATTCACCTACTCAGCATCTGCGTGTCGATAGCTCTGCAATAGCTTCATTCAAATGGTTCACTAGCAAGGCTATGTTATAGTAATTGTTGATGGTTTCATGTAAGAAAGTGCGACTTAAAGGGACGACCTTGCCTTAGTGTCATTACCGATTACCTTATGTGTGTTACATAAATACCTTGATTTCAACACTAATATTTACAACGGTAGCCCTCCAAGGTGGAGTCCTGGGTCTTTCATGAGGAAAAAGGGCAAACCATCGACCGGAGGAGAGTGAGCAAATTTGGAGTTTCAAAAGCCCTGGAGCTTCGAGCATGGTAAGAGTCGAGCCCACTTGGCTGACCAATGCTTGTAGCCGATATCAGAAGCAAGTAATAATAAAATGTCACCATTGTCCCTCAATTAAACCTGAGTTTGCATGTATTTAACTGTAATACCTTATTTATGTGACTACTTGATGTCTGGCGGATACTTTAAGACTTGTCTGGCCCTTGGACTGGTCTTTAAGCCAAGGTCATGCTCAGTTCCTTAGTGCTTCCTGAAATGCATTTACTCAACTCCGTTTAATGTCTTCTTCCTCTAGCGGAAAGTCCTGAGACGCTACACTAACAGTCGGTAATAATTAATTTTAAAAGCATGATACGTGTAAAACTAAAGGAAGGATTTTACAAAGTAAATTCAAACAAATTGTGAATGAAAAGAGCTAATAATAAGAACAACTCAGCTCATAGCGTCCCAAAACTTACCATTTAGCAAAAGAAGCTTAAAGTTTTGATTAATTATGTTCAGAAAGATAAGATGAGATCATAGAATGCTAAGAAATTGATGGCGAAGCATAAATTGACTGGGCTACCTTTTTGGGTGAGAAACCACTTTTTGGTTTTTAGCTATCTCTTAGCCGCGTCTGTAGCTCGAAGACCTTGGCTTATCAAAAAGCAGCACTCCGCACAGGAATCATGCATTCTCTGACCCTAAGAGATTTTCATCTGATCCGCATAGGGTTCGGCCCAAAATAACACCCGTTTTAAGGGGCATTCGCCCTCAATTTTTATTGCCATTGGCCAAAAAAGCACAGAATTTTATCGTTTATTGGGTTGGAATGAACTCAGATACATTAACCCAAATTGTGTCCAAAGGTGTAAAGCACCGTAGTCAACGAAGTAGGTTTTTGCAGTTTGCCGACGATAACATAGGCAGTTATTCGAATACTCAAGGACCAAAAATTTGGAAACACAAGCCAGTATAATATGAACAGAACGGACAGTAAGTGAGGCTAGATACATGTATTCCGAAGAGAACGGCGCAAGTGAGACTGAGCATAGACCGAAGGGCAGCCTACGAGCATTAGACGCATTGTCAATGGCTAGCGAGGAGGCTTGAAGCTATTTGAAAATGGAAAGAGATAGAATAATCAATTAGATTGCCATTTTTATCAGCTGGTTCTCCTGGAGGAGCCCATTGGCGGAGACGACGATTGTTCCTTATAAGGACGTGCAAAAATTTCACATTTTTGTGTATAATAAATTACTTAGCTATTTGTGTCAGTTACAATCACTTCAATAGCGAAATCACCCTCAGGTATGGGCAAGCAGCATTAGAAACGCTTCAAGTTAGGTTTTGCTCGAATTCCATACAAAAATATGACTGTTAGCATTGATTAATAATCACCAGCCACGCTTACCTTGTCTATAACCCATCACTGTAACGATAAAGAAAAATTAAAAATGATCAAAAGTTTCGTTTTGTAAAAAAGGATAACATAAATTTGCCATGTGCACTGCATTCTAGCATACACTGTAGGACGGCATACTCAATCTAGTAGCATGAAATTTATAATTTAAAATTTGCATTTTTACAAGCGCAAGTCAACTCTTATGCAAAAATTTTTTTTCCTGATTTGTTTCTATGATTCAATACAACTTTGCATCGATGTCAGCACGTATTCGATGTGGAATTTTTGCATGTATTATGGGCTTTGCATACGTAGATGAAGAACGTTGTTGAATTCTTAAAGGAAAGCGAGGTTCAAGGCTTCCAATCTCACACTATTGCAAACTTCTCCGACAAAATTCCGTTTCATGATGCAAACCTTCTCAAGCCTGACTTACCCGCTTCAAGTCGGTCTGTACTTCTGCTGAAAGTAAATTGCAACAACACTGTAATTGCTGCTGCACACATGGAAGGCACTGTTATTTTGTATAACAGTTCTAATGCAGAGTGTATCGGGCAATGCGAAGGCCATGAGAAGCCTCCTTGGACAATTAATGTTAGTTCGAATCGCTATATTTATCTTCTACAACTAATTACCATATAATATACTTTTAAACTAAGCTTTGTGCTTGCTGACTATTTTCTGCTTTTAGTTCCACCCCTCGATTCCTCATCTTTTGGTCAGCGGTTGTCTTGGAGGCCGGGTGTGCTTATGGTCAATTGCAGATATTTTTTCAACATTTTCTGGATGTCAACGTATCGTCAAGCCTATTTTCATCCATAATCAACTCGGCGCCATTGCATCCCTAACATTCCACCCGTATCTTTCAATTCTTGCCGTCGCCTGGTAATTTTTGCGCTATTACTTAATGTTTCGGATAATGGTTATCCACTGCTGTCTATTCTGTTGATTTTTGCTGGATCTTTGTAAAGTCATTAGATGTCATCACTACACCAGCCTATAAAGAGTGTTGTAAAATGTTTTGTAGGACCCAAGAAATCGCTTTTATTGACTACAATAGCGGCAATGTTCTCTCTGTCTGGCGATTTGCATGCGACAGTTCCAGTGTCCGATGGTTGAATTTTAATCTAGATGGATTAATCCTCTATACTGGGTCTACAAACCCGCATCCTCCTGAAAGCAATTCCTTATCGTTGCTTTCTGTACAGGACTCCATGACATCTTCCCCTCTAGGTAGTATTTCTGGTGCGTCAAAACCTAGTTAAACACCTTCTCTTTATAGTTTGTCACCTTATGAGTTTGTATTTTGTTGTTTAGACATAAGTCCTTCAAGAATACTTCGTGGTGAGTTGGTGCATTTTCTTCTTGGACAATCAGCCGAGTGGTATGAGGATCTTGGAATATGTCAGCTCTGTTCTCTGCGACTCTGCATCTGGGCCGCTGGTTTAGCTGTTGATTGCAATTTTCCTCATCACGAGCCCCCTTCCTCCGAGGCTGTTGATCATCTTTTGAAAGAAGTCTCCCTGAATGTCCCCAATGGGTCTTCAAAGGCCGAGGAGGTAATAGCTTTGCACCACAAGGACCCATCTCCCAGTGTTGTAGTGGTGATTGAAGATTTCCCTTCCAACGAGTGGCTCCGCTTCGAAGATCTCTGGAGCTTTCGCTGTTCTACGCCGCAGCCATTGATGATGTGTTGCCCTGGACATATTTACGACCTCTTTTTGACACACCGAGACCTTATGCGCTACTCCCTCTGTCGTTTATGCCTTCAAAAGTTTTGGCTGTGGGCCAACGATAGGAATCGTGTGGAGTGGTTCACCTGGATCCATTCTGATCCAAGCCCTAATAAAAGCTCGAGTTCTTCGCCCCAGGTGGGCCATTGCCCAACTATTGTTATTATCATTAGAAATTAGAGAGAAATAATTTTAGTTGCCCTATTCGTTACTTCGTAGAAAACACAATCGAAAACCGCCCTCTCTGCGAGAGTGTGCTATCAATGCTATCAAGAGTCGAGTTTGGACTCAAAACATGCGGATACGGACTCCGTCGAGGAAGAATCGTCTCTATTGTCCCTATCAAATCTACTTGATAGCCGGTTGCTCACCTCCATCATCCAAGCCTCTGTCTCAAATGCACAACTCAATCTCGATCCGACTGTCATTTCTGAGACAGGCGGCTGCAAACGCAAACACCCAGTATGTACTATCCCAATTCATATCTGATTTTGGATCTATAACGAGACTTAGGATGTGAATCCAGAAAGCAAGCCGGATTTAAGTAGTGCAACAACGCAGGAAAAACTTACTTTTTCCATATTTTACTATCTACTTTACCCAGTAATGTATGGGTGAATGATGATGTAAGTCTCATTCGTGCAGTGACCTCAGCCTCATGCATATATACACGAGTGTGCGTATGTGCGTGCGCGTAGAAGCTCCTCGGACCGTCATACGTCCTATCGACTGCGTAGAAGTGGGAGTCGGGTGCTGATGACTCACTGTGGGTCATGTGTAATCGCAGTTTCCAATTTGGTCTACATCGTCAGCATCATCTCTGCAATTCAATTTGCGGGCATCGCGATCCCCTCAAATCCTCTAATTGCTAAGATTTGTTTACTTCCCCTCTCTCATACACACAGGACCACATGAGTCGACTAACCATATTCAACTAATTAAATTGCAAATTTCTTGGTTCTAATGTCTAGTCCTCATTGTCTAGGACCACCATAACTACGGAAACAACAACAGCATGTTCTCTGGAGCGGAAGACTATGCAGACCCTGATCACTCGTCAAAGACATCGTCATCGAATTTCACGAATTCTTCGGAAAGCGACCAACTATGGGAAAACAGTAAGTTGTTCTCACGTTGCGCTTCCCTTCGCACCAAAGTAGAGCTAATTCCCAGAATTATACTGACTATGCAGACACTCGTCGTTGTCGGTTGTTCATTGCTCTGATTCTTCTAGTCATCTGATCTGGTGGACCCGTTGATGAACTCATCACATTTGATCCACATTAATATGCACCCGTATTTGAGCGCCACCATCAGGTTAACTTACATTTCGAATCGCATAGTTACGTTCATGGTGGTGAAGATGGTCTTTCACGTAGGATTGCTCTTCTGCAACAGCATTGCTAAACTTGAATTTGAAGGAAGCTTAAGTTCGTTTATCCCCTCTCGATTTGCATGTCACCTGAAATCGCACAATTTCCCTACGCCTTTAAGATATTGAAGTCTGTTTGACCCCCTCTCCCTCCTCCCTCCCCTCACCACAAATAACACACACACGCACACACACATGCATACACACACGAAATCAACCAACAGGGTGAAGGACTTATGGCATTGTCACCTGCACATCGGTGCCATTGTATTCACGATTCCGTGTGAAAATAGTTTCTTCATTTTACGTGTCCACTTTCTGTCTCCGATTGTAACAAGATTTTCGCCAGCAATTATGAGGCTTGGATGTTGATTCTTGTATAATGCATTCGACAAAATCGGTTGTTAGTGCTGGGCGCAAGCGTGGAATATCATCCACTTAAGATGATCGCAAATCCCCTAGCAAAGTTCCCAGTTAATGGTTCCCTTACTTCACACCTTTTGGTGCATGTGTGAACATATGTGCTTTTGTTGGGAGGCCGATTTTCTGACGTGAATCTCGCTATTCATCGTCTGTATTTTGCACTTTGCTCGCATTTCAAGACTTTCTCAATTCAGCGGTCGCCATTGCCGCTCCTTGTTTTCGCTCTTGCAGTAAAACATCTAAAATACAAAACAGTTTATTCGACTGAGGGCGTTCATTTCTTGATTTTTGAAAGTTTAGTGTTTGGACTAAAATTGAAGGATCCAGAAATTGTGGAACATAATTAGCTACCCTTTACAAATTTGGCCAGCTTAGCTACTGCTGCAGCGGCAGCAGCAACGTGAGCTCCTTAACCTACTTACAAATATTATCTTTGTAATGGATCTGAGTACTGGTGGAGAAATTTTAACCGAGTTTAATTAAAGTGTCCAGCTTTTGACGTACTCCAAAGCCATCCTCCCCGTGTTCTGTGCTGCTCCCGATTCAGTTGCCAGTCCATTGATACCTCCAGTTCTCGTGGTTCCATTTGCTTTGCGAAGCTGAATGTTGCTGTTGGCAAATTGCCTTCCGAAGTATTGGATTGACAACCGCCCTCAGTTTGTAAACCGAAGTGCTTACGTCCACAATTTGTTCAACACGTTCACTGCTTATTGAGCAAGCTAGGACAGTTGTTGTGTGATGATGGCGTCGAATGGTCTTTGCTCAACTCTTTATTGAGTTGCTGTTTTACTGACATGAGGCCGCGCTAATTCGTTTCTTGAGGAGGAGACAAGACTTTATTCTGATTGTAGGCTAACCGGCTCCTGCTAATGAGATTCGAGGACAAATTGGGTGTTTTTTTAACGTGTAACTTATACTTGCATCACTGAACCGACGCAATCAACCGCGTCCCACAGACTGAAAAGATAGGATTGCCCTCAGAGAGGTGCTGATTTTATATGTCATTGTTGTAAAAAAAA